CTGTGGAAGCCGTGGTCCGTGAAATGTCGGAACCACTCCTTGAATTTGTGTGGCCACGTTCGGGCCAGCACTTTCTTCTCCGTCCCGATAGTCACCCGAAAGAGCGGATGGTCGTTGAACCACACCGGTGCTTGAAGTAGTTGAATTGCGTCCGTGGTACATGGTGCCCGGACATTCCATGGTAGACGTGACCATGTGTTCCACATGTCGGCTGTCAACTTGGACAAATGTGCGTGAGACAGCCATTTCCCGCGCGACCCGGGTCGGTGCCACAAAATGTCATCGGTGTGCGGTCGTAATAGTCCTGGCATGACGTCATCAAAGGTCTGGAGGACCAGCGTCTTCCACGGTGCCGGTCTGGGGTCGAAGACTCGTTGTAGTCGTCGTACACGTTGTGCTTGGATGTGCGACTGGACGTGCGGAAGACCCAGGCCCAGCCATTTGTCATATTGCAGCCCTTGCTCGAGCAGGCTGTGGTGTTTCTCATTCGGCTTGTACTTGGCGCCAAGGATGTAGACGCGAATCATACGCTGTATTGTGGTGACTGCCTTTTTGGACAGCGGTGTCACCACCGTGTGGTACCATATCTGAGAGAGCACCTTGGATTGCACCACGAGGGTACGTCCAATGAGCGTGCGACCGCGTTTCCCCCACTTGAGCAAGCTCGATTGGACGATCCGAACGAGCAGATCGTCGTGGAACGATTCCGAGAGCTTGTGGCCAAACTGGACTCCTAGGTACCGCACTGGCACCCCCGTGGCGACGACCGACAGAGTGGTCCATGTTGGAGGAGGACGGTTCTGGTTCAATGCCAGCACCTTGCACTTGGCGACGTTCAACCGAGCGCCCGAGACGGCGCAGTAATTGGCCACTACACCCAATTGGGCGTTGGTTTCGGCCTCAGAGCCGGTGAGTAAAGTGCAATCGTCGGCAAAAAGCATCGAGGTCACCGATAAAGTCGGCGACAGACGAAGACCAAACCATGGTTGCCGACGTAAATGCTCGGCAAGTGGCTCGATAGCTAATACAAAGAGAAGCGAAGAGAGTGGATCGCCTTGTTTGACCCCCCGGTTCGTGTAGATCGGCTTGCCGAGCTTGTTGTTGACAATGAGCTTGGCCACAGGTTTGTTGTAGAGGAGACGAAACCACCGCAAAAACGTGGGGCCAATATTGAAGCGTAGGAGCACCTGCTCCAAGTATGTCCAGTCCACGCGGTCGTACGCCTTCTCAAAATCGAGGAACGTGGCAAACCCATCTTCGTTCTTTCGTGTGCAGTGATGCTGCAGCTCTTGGAGATAGACCACGTGGTCATGAATATTGCGGCCTGAGACAAAGCCTTGCTGGTCTTCGTGGACCAGCTTCGGTAGCAGCCCACCGAGACGATGACTGAGGACCCGCGAGATAATTTTCGTCTCCACCGGTATCAAAGAGATGGGCCGGTAGTTGCCGGGGTCGGAAGCATCACCACCCTTTGGGAGAAGCGCGACCGCCGACGTTCGTTGGAGTTCGAGGAGCTCCCCACGTTCCAGTTGAGACATGAAGACAATGTGCAAGATCGAGGCAAAAGTCGGCGGGTCCAGTTGGTAAAACGCCGCCGGAAACCCGTCCAGCCCGGGAGCCTTGTCCGGTGCCATGGTACGAATCGAGGACTCAATGTCCTTGACACTGATCGGTAAGTCCAAGAGGTCGCGGTCCTCCTGCGTAAGTTCTCGCGCGACTTGGCTCAAGAAAGCGCGGCGACGGGTATCGCCGGGGTCTCGAAAGTCGTCGGAGCGCATCACCGTCGACCACTTGTGGTGGAACACGTCGTGGATGTCGTCCATCGACACCACAACCGTCCCGTCGGTCCGGCGCATTTCTTGGATCGGTGATGAGCCGGTCGTCTGCGCCCGAAATACAGGATCAAATTCTCTAGTACAGTTCTGTTTTACTTTGTTTTCAAAGTTGACATCACAAATGACTTTGATGATCGTATGTGACCACGTCCGTTGACTCGGGATGTCGGCCAGAAACTCGAATTGAGTTTTGAGTTGCTGGCTCTTGATGAACGTCCACCGTTGCTATTCCAAGACGGTGTGAGCGGACGCTGGTGTTATGAGAAGTCCTTTGTTTCCTCTAATCTCTTATCACTTTCTACTAAGCCTGCATAATCTACTGAACTCTGTGGTTTCTTGGCGCGTGTGGTTGAATTCCTTGGACTGGTCAATCGAGCCCCGTATCGAGTGCACTGATGCGTGCTGGCTTGGACTGTCTGCAGGCATCATCGTTGTTGCAATGGACAACGTCTCGGTGATCTTGCATGCTTGCTGCACGAGCCCATGGCACTCGTGGCATGGTTCATGGTCGAGATCGAGATCCAGGTGCAATGACCGTGCAGCGTCGATGGCATCGAAAAAGGCTTGCGCGACAGCAATTCGATCGACGATCGCCCTGAGAAGCAGTTGCTTGTGCAGCGCTACACCTGGTGCTATCCGGTCGGGAACTGTTTTGAGCGTCATTGCAATTGCAGTCGCCGTGTCGCAAACGCAGTGTCGGGCGCAAAGTGCTGCAACGAGCTAACAAAGACGTTGGCGCTAAACTTGTACGCTGCATCGCTGTACAGACCAGAGAGCTCCCGACGGTTGAACGGATCACCATGAACTCCTTTGTACGTTGGAGGCGAAGCTCCGGCGTGAAGGCGTCGACTCGAGCTCGGTCGGCTTCGTCGCTGACTCGCCTCCTGCTTTGCCTCGGCTGCAAGTGCTTGGAGGCGCTGGTGGGCTTGGTATTTTTCAGCTGGGAGCACGAAATCCGGTTCGTTTTTCGGGCGCTTTGCTCGGGTGCCAACATGTCGGGTGCAGTTCGGGTTGCAAAATCAGGGTTTTATGTACGCACCCTTGGCAAAAGTAACTCACTACCGGTACCTCTCGGTGCAAACGAACGGGAGCGCACTATGGTGTAGTAGAAGGGCTGCACAACGACCCGCATCATGATGGCGTAGCAGTGCCTGTCGACATCATGGCGGCCGCGATGAGAATATATGGTTCTGTCCTTGTCGCATCACGGCTAGCGCGCTGCAACGAGCAAGACATGACATGTTGTACACAATTTCCCAAGCTGCGACCCCTGATCCAGGCCAAGCGGTCGGCGCAACGCCGCCGCCGGTGTCGCTGCTGGGATGGAGGCCACAAGACGCCAGCTCCCAGCACAGTCCGTTGGCGCGCCCTCGCATAGCAAGCACGAGTCGCTTCTGCTCGACCACCGCACGTGCCACTGATGCCTTGGTGATGACATGAGCGGGAATAGTGCAGGAGGCGACGAGCGTATTGGGCAGGAATGGCCGTCTTTAGGGGGCGCATGCCTGTGGGAAGTTTATGCCAACATAACCAGGGCGCTTGGAGGCAGAAGCGCGCGGCTGGGCTCATGCGTCGCTGAGGCGACTTCCGGGGTCTGTCCTGAGGCTGTGGATCGCACATGGATTGTAGCGTGGCCACGTGGCTCATGCGCTACTTGCACAGTACAATAGTCCTCGCGGTCATACACTGTACCACCCCCAACTTGGACATTTGTTTGATTATCGGACTCCCGGCGCTACTCCTGAGTAAAAAATGTTACCAGTGGGCTAGCTAGACGTTATGATGGATGGCTTACGACCGCCGCACGCGCTTGGCCGGTGGCTCCGTCGACTCGTTCGATGCATCCTCTGGCTCACCACCCACGGTGCTTGTCAAACTCGCAATGCACGCCGCGATGCGCGCATGGATCTTCATCTTGGCGTGGTGCACGTCCCACTCGGTCGGCGACACTTGATTGGGCTGGCGCACCTTCTCGAGGCGGCACTTGCCGTCGTCGCCGGTCACGAAACAGAGCCGCGTGGCGTTCGCGTCGACAACCCGAGCGAGGTCGACGCAGACGTCGGGCCTGCTTCGATATAGCTTCATTGTGGCCATGTCTGGTTGCGCCAAAAAATATTCCGCATGTAGGCACTGGTTGCAATGGTCGGGGTCGAGATGTCGTGGCGATGGCGCGGCCAAGTTGACGATGTTGAGTAGCTCTGACACTGCGACAAAGCGATCGATCATCGCCGAGAAGAGCAGACGAAAGACGGAGCTGGTGCGGTCGAGGCGCGGCACCACCGGCACAAGTCGGTCATGGAGGTCGTCGAGCGTCGTCGGCAGCAATTGCAGCCATTTGGAAGCAAACGCAAGGGCCGTGTCCGGCGCAAAGCGAAGCAAAAGCTCTGCCGCGCCGACAAAGATGTCGGCGCCAAACTTGTACGTTTCTTCCATGTACCGACCGGTGTACGTTCGACTGTTGAACGGCTCGGGATACGACGACTCGTCGACGAGCGTGCCCACCGAAGCGTCGATGTAAGAAACGACGAGTTGCTTTACAATTGCGTCGTCTGGCAGCTGAGAGGCGATCGAGGCCACGATCGGGAGCAGTCGAGGCCCATAAATGTGCACCAAAATGTCAAAGAGTGCTGCGTCAAGACGCTGCGAGAGACTTGCCAAGACGAGCACCGCGGCGGCAATTTCGGCTTGTTGGGACGCCATGACGGCCCTGGCGTGCGGCGTCATGGGTGCTTGCATGGCTGCGAGGACCTTGTCAATGATGGCCGACGGTAGCGGCAGCGACGGTTGGCAGCGCACGGCCGACGCCAGCCCGACGGCAAGGTCCTTGAGCGGGTGCCACTCGGCCGAGGAGCAGAACAAGCTGTCGAGGGATGGGTAGGCAAAGAGGAAGGCGTCGATGGCCGGCACGAGACTCAAAGGCAGACGTTGGCTCGCGTAGTGGGCGTCTTGGAGCTGCGCCGCTGTCGTCGTCAAGTAGTGCTCGAGCAAGAAGAGGCCCTTGACAGAGGTAGGGCCACGGGGCAGCATACCCTTTGTCTCGGTAAAGAGACCGGGCTTTGCGAGCACGACGTCGTAGCAGCGCTTGAAGAGCTCGGCCTCAAACGGTTGAGACAGCGGTGGACACACGGACGACTCGGTATTGAGACCAGCCAAGCTCATGAGCAGCTGCATCGTGGCGTCGGGGTCGGTCTCGATCCAGCGCTGGACGAGCCGAAGCATCGACGACTGCAGGGCCTCCCAGCCATGCTTGGTCAAGAGGTCATGGACGACTGGTGCGATATCGTCCACTAAGCGACCGATTCCCATCGTGATGGTGTCGATGAAAGTGGCCGAGACTGCCACGTCACCGAGCGCCGTCAAGAGCCGCTGCATCTTTTCAAGAAGCGACAAGTTGCGAGGCAGATCTTTCTTGTGCATCAGCATGTAAATCTCCTCTTCAGGCGACATGCGCTTGGTCTTGGCCAGCGTTGGCCCATGAGCGCCAAAGAACGGCATCACACCCAGTAGAAGCTCGCGCGTCTCCGAGATGCCGAGGTACCCGTCGTCGTTGTCGTTGCCGCGCGCACGTCGGCGCATGAGAAAGTCCAAAACGCCGACGACGTCGACAATGCAGACACGGTGGCGCGTGGGCCAAAACACGAGCACAAAGGACGGACACTCGAACGCATCGGAACTTGGCGGCGGCTTGTGCAAAAAGCCTTGAAGCGTATGACCAATCACACCGTCAACGACAGCGTCCGGGATGTTGCACGCGGGATGTGGCAGGAACGTCATGACTTCGCCCTTCTTGAACGCGTCGAGCCTCGCAACCCCGACGTCAAAGTTGCCGGCGGCGAGAAGCACGTTCACAAATCCCAGCTCCGCGTACGTAAAGTGTTCGAACGAGAGAGGGTGGTGTGCCACCTCGAGCTCCAGTCCGAGTCGCTGGACCCCATGCGTCGTCGACTGCCCAAGCTCTTGAAAGGCTGCGACAGCCGCGTCTTGCACATTCGGCTCCATGCGCATCGGCGTTTTCACATGGCCGTAGTACAAGCGGTAGACAAGTGCGACACGGCGCCCAGACGTGATGGGTGCGGACGTGATCGTCGTCGTAAGAAACGCGGCGGCAAACGATGTCTCGAGAAGCGACGTGTCTTCATCAAACGTTTCCGAGTGGTTGCCGTACGTGAACGTGATGACGCCGCCCGTGTGCACGGATGGAAGCAGCACGATGAGCACACCAAACGTAGTCGCGTTGGCCTCGTCGTCTTCGGACGGCTGCAAGCGAAAGAGGTCGGCGTCGCCGACGTCGTCCACAACCATGTGCGAGAGATCCATGAACGCGCCATTCGATGGCCCCAAGTGCGGAAGACTGACGCGGTTGATTTCGCAGAGCATTTGGTCATGATCGTCGAGGTATCGCTCTTCAAAGAGGATGTCGGACTCGGAAATAACCTTGTTGGGGTAGAGCGCGGCGATCTGCGCTGCCTGCGCGGCACAGAGCGGCCACGAGACCGGCTCGTCCACCCGTGAGGTGGAAGAGCACCGGCGCCGGATGCGGGTGCGCGCCCTTGGTGACGAACGCGCTCGGCTCCTTGAGCAACTTGAACGCCGCTTCGTACGCGGCGATCGCCGGGTTGGACATCGCACCAAAAACGAACTCTGCCACGCGAAACCCACGTGGCCAAGTTTGTTTTTGGCGCGTAACCGGCCGTCGTGGTGTTGGTCAATGGCACGGAGCGTTGCGCAATATCAAAATATTGTTATGTAGTATTGCAATTTAAATTTATTGGTATCTCAAAAAGATATTGTGCAATATGACGTGGCATCGCCATGTACCGGGTATTGGTTCTCTGCACTCACTGTCTTTGTGCTCGGATCGCCATTTAGCAAACTCGATAGGTATTACATACACTACCTGTAGCGACAACATATTGGGCGCTGCACTGGCACTGTACACAGTGCGACGTAGGTTGAGCTGTTCCTCCCAAGACTTCGCTGTTTGTTACTTATCTCTTTCTCGCGGCCAAGTAGCGAGAAAGGAAACCGAGACAAGATAGGTACCGTCGTGCGCCAGAGGGTCGCTACATGTGGCCCAAGAAGGCTGCTGTGCAGATATCGTCTGGCGGTCACACCATCCCCACCATTCAATATCAATCAATAGATTTCATTATCGATGGCGTCAAAGGGAAGATGGACGACTTGGGACCGCCGCGCTCGCTTTGCAGCCGGCGCTGCCGGTTCCTCGGATGTTGCGTCACCACATTGACTGGATAAGGTCTCGACGACGGCCTTGACGGTGGCATACTGCCGCATCTGCTTCTTGCGATCGTACCACTCGGGCTCGGAGATTTGACCATGTTGTGGCACCTTCTGAAGGCGGTAATGGGCGCCGGAAGCGTGGGTGGACTGTGCTTGGCTTTGGGTGATACGAAGCCGCGTCGCGTCTGCTTCTACGGCGCGGACGAGGCTCGTGCAGACCCTGTCTGTTCCCGTGTACCATGTCATATCGCGCTCCTGAACGATTGTGACAAACAAATGGGCTACGCTGCACTGGACGCAATGCTGTGGGTCGAGGGTCGGCGGCGGTAGCGGCACTGGCACCGTGGCGAAGCGATCAACGATGGCCGTCGCAAGCAGCGAATAGACGCAGCTACTGCGATCGAGGCGACTCAGAATCGGCAATAGCCGGTCATGGATCGTTCCAAGTGTCGTTGGGAGCAGCGCCAGCCATCGTGTCGCGTACCCAAGGACAGTGCGCGGTGCATACCGCTGCAAAAGCTGCAGCGCGTGGACAACGGCGTTGACGTGATACTTGCTCGTTACTTTGAGATCGATACTATCGATCCACATGCGGAGCGGCTCGGGCCACTTGGACTCGTCGACGAGCGTGTCTACCGAGCTGTCAATGTACGTAACGACGAGCGGGCACAAGATCGCATCATTCGGAAGCTGAGAGGCGATCGAGGCAACGATCGGGAGCAGTTGAAGACCATATATGTCCACAAAGCGAGCAAAGAGCGCTGCATCAAGACGCTGCGAGAGGCTCGCCGCGACGAGCACCGCAGGGGCAATGTCGGCTTGGCGGCCAGCCATGTTGGCCATATGACACACTGACCTGGGCTTGCGCATGGCTGCGAGGACCATGTCGATCACGGTGGGTGGTAGTGACAGCAACGGTTGGCAGCGCACGGCCGACGCAAGGCCGACGCCAATGTCGTCAAGCGGGTACAACCAAGCGTACTCTTGGCACAACTCAGCCGAGGACCACAGCACGCTCTCGACCGACGGGTGTGCAAAGAGGAACCCATCGATGGCTGGCACGAGACTCAATGGCAGACGTTGGCTCGCGTAGTTAGCGTTTTGGAGCTGCGGCGCCATTTTTTTCACGTAGTGCTCGAGCAAGAAGAGACCCTTGACAACCTTCCAGCCACAATCCTCTTCACCCACCTCTTCAATAAAGAGGTCGGGCGTTGACAGCACCACATCGTAGCAGCGCTTGAAGAGCTCGGCCTCAAACGGCTGACGCAGTGGCAAGCACACACACGACTCAGTGTCGAGGCCGACCAAGCTTGTGAGCAGCTGCAGCGTACTAATTGGATGTGTCTGGACCCAGCGCTGGACAAGCCGAAGCATCGACGCCTGCAGCGGCTCCCAGCCATGCTTGGTCAAGAGTGCATGGACGACGGGCGCGAGTCTGGTCAAGAATACCTCATCGCCAATCGCGATCGCATCGAAGAAAGCCGCCGAGAGCGCCACGTCATTGAGCGCCACTTAATCTCTTGAGGGGTGATGGTTGCTTTGCTTTCAGGGGCATATCCACCGACTCGCACGACTTGGCCTTGACCAGCGATGAGCGGGTGACGCCAAAGTATGGCATCGCACCGAGCACGAGCTCCCGCGTGTCAAAGAGGCCGAGATACCCGTCGTCCCGGTCGTCGCCGCGCTCCAGTCGCAGCATGACAACGTCCAAGGCGCCGTCAATGTCGACCCAGCACACGCGATAGTGCTTGGGCCAAAAGACGAGCGCAAAGCTTGGGCACTCAAACGCATTGGACGTCAATGGCGGCATTTGCAGAAAACCATGGGGCATCTGGCCCAACACACCGTCCAAAACGAGTTCGGGGATGTCACACAATGGCAGAATCTCCACGATATAGCTTTTTCCAAACGTGTAGAGCTTTGCCAGGCAAACGTCAAAGTTGCCGGCGCGTTCACAATCCCCTTTTGCCAGAGCGTGAGCTCGTCCAAATTCAATGTGTACTGACGCGGCACTTCGAGCTCCAGTCCAAGGCGATGGCCCTCTTGCGTCGTCGACTGCCCGACGGCTCGAAAGGCCGCGACCGCCGCGTCTTGCACGTTCGGCTTCATGCGCATCGGCCCGTCTACGTGGCCGTAGTACAAGCGGTAGACAAGCGCCATGTGACGCCCAGCTGTGATGGGCGCTGACGAGATTGTCGTCGTAAGAAAGGCAGCGGCAAGTGGCGTTTCGACAAGCGACTCGTCATCATCAAACGTTTTCGAGTGGTTGCCGTACGTGAACGTGAGGACGCCGCCGGTATGCGCCGATGGAAGCAGCACGATGAGCACACCAAACGTAGTCGCGTTGACTACGTCATCGTTTGAAGGCTGCAAGCGAAAGAGGTCGGCGTCGCCGACGTCGTCCACAACCATGTGCGAGAGCTCCATGGACGTGTCATGCGATGGCACCAAGTGCGGAAGACAGGCGTCGCTGACTTCGTCAAGCATGCGGTTATAGTTGTCGGCATATCGCTCATTGAGGTGGATGTTGGCCGCAGAGATGAGCTTGTTGGGGTAGAGCGCAGCGATCTGCGCTGCCTGCGCGTTGCTGAGCGGCCACGAGACCGGCTCGTCCACGCCCGCGAGTCGGAAGAGCACCGGTGGCAGGTGCGGAAGTGAGCTCGTGGCGGCGAATGCGCTCGGCTCTTGGAGCACATCGTATGCGGCTTCGTACGCGGCAATCGCTGGGTTCGGCATGGCGCCAAAGTGCAAACTCTGCGTCCGCTATCCGTTTCCGGATATAAATATATACGGTGCACGCCTACCGGTTCAACCGTATACCCGGTAATGGGGGTCCAAAACCTCCACATATACCGGTACGTACAAATTTATATAGAGCGTGGATCGACGGTTTGGCACAAGCCGAAGCAATGTACCGGTACTACACAACCAAGCGTCAAATGCGTCTCTGATGCAATGACCAGCGACGCAGGCGCTGCGATGCCATCGCTTGATATGGTTGCGATTGATGCACGTGGCATTGCGAAAGACTCCACCGAGTCAATACTTGCGTTGCTTTTCGCGTTGCTCCAATCTTTGGCTCCAATTGCTTCAACTAGAAACCGTAGAAAGAGCGACAAGGCAGTCGTAACAGAGCTTCCTTGGGCATATTTGGGCTGCAGCTCGTCCCAACGTCCAGCACTATGGCTTGGTAGTGCTGTGTCGGACCCTGCATCTGATAGCGTGTGACAATGCCAGCCACATGAAGCACGATTCGTACAGTACTTGGAAGGCCCACTGGGTGGCGCCAACCAACTCTTGCACATAGAAGGCGTGCTGCTCTAGTCACTCAATTGGGTGCTGCGTGCGTGTGGGAAGGGGCGCTCTGTCTGGGTCTGGTTGCATATCTGGTCTGTGTGATGTCTCCTCGTACCGAAGCCCGGCGTTAGCACAGCCTACGCTTTCGACGAGAAACGTGAACCAGATCCCAAAAGGCAATCTCGCACAGAGGTTGAAGTTGACGCTTCCGCCGTTTTCCGGATACACCTCTTACAATCAATGTTGAGGGTGGTCAACGTGGCGCTATTAAAATACCATCTGGTTTGTAAGCCATAAAGCGAAAGCTCCTTGATTTTAACAGCATCCGA